TACAAGATGCACTCACATAATTGTATGTACACAGACAACTTGACAGAAATAAAAAAAATGTCTGTATCACAGACACTTTATGAAAAATTACGATCTAAAATGTCTGCGATACAGACAAATCTTTATATTTTGTCTGTGAAAATCGATTTAACAGACAAATCTTTATATTTTGTCTGTGATACAAACAAAAATTTAAATGATAAACATCAAAAAATCTATTTAGTATAACAAGTGTAATAAGTACTAGTATTCAACATCATAACAACATATCATAACAACATATGTGACATACAAAATTAAAAGGGGAACATATATATACCCTAAATGCACAAAAAATATGAAATAAAGTATTACCTCATGAATAATATTTGAGAGAGCAAAGTAAATTCAAGTTGTGACTCCTATTTTTCTGACCGGATTTAGATCTATAAAAAAAGTGAGAGCTTTTGAAATGAAGAAAACAGGAAAAGAGAAGAAAAAAGATGGAGAAAGGGAGATAAAGAGAGGAAAGAAAAAGAAAAGAGGGAAAGAGGAAGAGAAAAAAAAGGAAGATAGAGGGAGAAGAAAAGAGGCTGGAGATGTTGGGCGCAGGGAGGGAGAGAAAAGAAAAAGAAAAGAGGAAGAGGGAGAAGGAAGTTGGGCGCAGGGAAGGAGAGGAAAAAAGGAAGAAAAAAAAAGGAAGGAGGGAGGGGAGGGGTTAATAGGTTGGAAAAGAAGGGGGTGGGGGGTTTTGTGCTGTGTAGATGATGTGTACACTGCTGTGTACATAAAGCATTTCCCATTGATATTTGGGTTTTTGGATGAGCATAATAAATACAGCGTACATTGGAGCTTTAATACGGAGTATCAGCTAATATATACTCCTTCCGTCCCGCTATGATTGTCTCATTTTACCATTTCGGTCTGTCCCACTAAGATTGTCTCATACCTTATTTGGTAAAGTTTGTGTGATTCTAAATCATTCCTACTTTATTCTTACTTTATCAATTCAATATCAACTACATAAACTCATCTTTATTAATAATCGTGTCACCTTCTCTTGTCCCAAACATAGGGGGACGGAGGTAGTAAAAAAGTTGATGTGGCGGGGAGGATTAGTGGGGGGTCCTTTGTTCTTTACACATCCGAGCCTAGAACTACAACATGCAATTCATGTGCAAAATCGTCTTTGAACCTTTTTTTGGCGGAATAACTTCTTTACACAAGAGCCGACACTTGGAGTAGCGTTTTTTGTACCGCACCTTAACCGTGGTTAACTTCAACAGTATTTTGGGAATTATTTTTAACCGAGCAGTATTTTGGGATTTTTTTTATTTAATTAGCATTATTACGGGAAAAAACTTTTAAAAAAGAAATAATTACATAAATATGATCAAAATAAAGATGGTTTACAAAAATATGATTAGTTACTAGAATAGTAATGAAATCATAGTAATTCATGTTCATGTTTTGAACTTAAGTTACCACAACACTACGTTGTAGTAATGAATAGTCATATTTATGTAAATAAGTTTTATTTTAATAATATTCTTGTAAAAATCCCTTTAAAAAATCACTAGCGGCAACGCCGGCAAGGCTGATCAAGCATTCCCTAATCCCTAGTGAAGGGGTGTGAATTATTTAGCGTTAAAATATCACTTCACATATCTAATTGTATTATAATACCGAGTAATAACTTAGAATATATTAAGTAGAATGTCATAGAACATCTTAATTAAAGTACCATAACTTAATATTATGCAATTCATATGCATTTTTATTTAGAACAAATAGAGTAACATAGCGTTTTGCTCTGTTTCAAGCGTTCAAGAGTAACATGGTGTTTTATTCTGTTTCGAGTGTTTATATGTTATTTTGTGTAGTATACACATGAATATACGTAGGTTTAGAGAGGAAGAAGCAAAGGAAAATTCTTCTTATTCATATGTGCTTCATCGTTACTTTATACAACTAGGATACCGATAATAGTGGATCGGCTATCCTTAAAGAAAGCAAGAGATTAAAACAAATCTAATCTCCATAAATAGAAGATAACTACGAATAGAAATAAATGAATAAAATAAAGCTACTATTCCTTATATAATAATCTCCAAATATAACTCCAATACCCCCCCTCAAGTTGGCGCATGAGGGTTCAAAATGCCCAACTTGTGTAGGAGAGCCTGAAACTGAGTCTTTCCAAGAGCTTTAGTAAAAATATCAGCTAGCTGAACAGTTGTGGGAACATAGCTGGGAGCAATGAGATTAGCCTTAATAGCATCACGAACAAAATGGCAATCAACTTCGATGTGTTTAGTACGTTCGTGAAACACAGGATTATTGGCAATATGGAGAGCTGATTGACTGTCACAATATAAAGGAATAGCCTGAGGGTGATTTATACCGAGGCTTAAAAGAAGTGCCTTTAACCACTTCAGTTCACAAGTTGCAGCAGCCATGGAGCGATATTCAGCCTCTGCAGATGAGCGAGCAACTGTAGATTGTTTCTTAGCTTTCCAGGAGACAGGAGAGTGACCCAGAAAAACTAACCAACCAGAGAGTGATCGTCGTGTGAGTGGGCAAGCAGCCCAGTCAGAGTCACACCAACCAGTGAGAGTGAGCTCACTGGTAGCACTAAGTAGAATTCCCTGACCCGGAGATCCTTTAAGATAACGTACAACGCGAAGTGCAGCAGACCAGTGATCACTGCGAGGATTTTGCATAAATTGGGACAAGATGTGCACGGAGTATGTAAGGTCAGGTCGGGTAACCGCCAAATAAATGAGCCTACCGATGAGACGACGGTATTGTTCAGGGTCAGAGTGCAGGGGGCCCGAAGCATTCCCAAGATTGTGATTTTGTTCAATCGGGAAAGAAGGAGGTTTGGCACCCAAGAGACCAGTTTCTGTAATAATATCCAGGGCATATTTTCGCTGATTAAGAAATATTCCAGATGAACTTCTGGCGACCTCAATGCCAAGAAAGTATTTAAGTACCCCCAAATCCTTCATGTGGAAACACGCATTGAGATATGATTTAAAACTAGCAATGGCATCACTATCATTGCCAGAAATAATAAGATCGTCCACATAGACGAGCACATTTAGCTGAATAGGCCCTCGAGTGAGGGTAAATAAAGAATAGTCAGCATAGGATTGGAGAAAACCATAACCTTTGAGTGATGTGACCAATTTAGCGAACCAGCATCGCGGCGCCTGCTTAAGACCATATAAGGACTTGTGAAGACGACATACCAAAGTGGGGTCGCTAGTGTGGTAACCAGGCGGAATAGTCATGTATACTTCCTCTTGTAAGTCACCGTGAAGGAATGCATTATGTACATCCATCTGGTGCAGCTCCCAATTCTTACAAGCAGCTATAGCAAGAAAAGCACGTACGGTGACCATTTTGGCCACCGGGGCAAACGTTTCTGTATAGTCTAGACCAGCAACTTGTCGGTTACCAAAAATAACCAGTCGAGCCTTAAGGCGCTCAACACTGCCGTCAGATTTGTGTTTCACTTTATAAACCCAACGACACCCCAAGGCTCGTTTGCCAGGAGGTAGTGAAACCAGACTCCATGTAGAATTGGTTTCAAGGGCTTGGATCTCGTTACGCATAGCATTGCGCCATCCTTCATGTTTGACAGCATCCTGAAAATTTCGAGGCTCCGTAATAGAATTAATAGCTGCCAAATAAGCCTGATGTTTCGAAGAAAATTTATCACAAGTAACATAATGGGTTATAGGGAACGGCGTACCTGAAGAAGATGATGGAACAGGGTGTGCAGGGAATGGACTGTTTTTAATAATGGTGTGAGTAACGTAATCTCTGAGTCGGACGGAAGGTATACGGTCACGTTGACCCCTTCCCATAATAGGCGGCTGCTCTGAGTCCGTGGAAATGGGAGGTGAGACCTGGGAAATATTTGTAGTATCCGAACTAGCAGAAGACACGCGATCAACTCCCTGCATGTCCGTAGGTGCTGCGCCAGATGGTGTGTCAGTGGGTCCATGAGAGGAGAAATCAGAATAGTCTTGTAGCATAATCTCAGGAGCCGTAGGTGTGTTATACGAAAGTGGCAAATCAGGAGCAAAGGGAAAAATATGCTAAAAAAATTTAACATCTCGGGACACAAAATATTCTCGAGTCTCAATATCATAGACAGTCCACCCCTTTTTGCCAATAGTATATCCCACAAAAACACATTTGCGACTCCTACTAAGAAATTTATCACCCTTGGACTTCATATTAAAAGCATAACACAGGCAACCAAACACCCGCAATGATTTATAATTCGGTGGCACACCAAACAACATTTCATAAGGAGTCTTATAATTATGAATCGCAGTGGGAGTACGATTAATAAGATGGGAAGCCGTCAAAACACATTCACCCCAAAAAGTGATGGGTAAATGTCCCTGAAATCTCAGAGCCCTCGCCACATTCAAAATATGTCTATGTTTACGTTCAACACGCCCATTTTGTTGGGGCGTGCCAACGCAGGAAGTCTGAAAAATAATGCCACTTTTGCAGAAAAAATCTTTCAGACAATTAAATTCGGTTCCGTTGTCACTTCTTACAGTAACAATTTTCTTAGAAAATTGGCGCTCCACCATGGCAACAAAAGAAAGGAACATTTTAAAGACTTCCTTTTTATCAAGAAGCAGATAGACCCATACAGCACGAGAATAATCATCCACTATTGTCAAAAAAAATCTAGCACCACATGAAGAAGAGGTATTATATGGACCCCACAAATCACAATGTATCAGCTCAAAAATGCCATGAGTTTTATTCAAACTAGTGGGAAAAGAGTCTCTAGTTTGCTTAGCTTTAAAACATACATCACACGGTAACCGTCCAAAATTCTTCAAGCCACTTACAGGAGCTAATTTTTCAAGAACTGATGGAGATGGGTGACCGAGTCGCTGATGCCACAATTCGGCCATAGTGTCCTTGGAATCCTTTATTGCCAAAACTTGAGTTGAAACATCCTCCCGCAGATAATACAGTCCATTCCGTCGTTCACCCGTCCCAATCAGCTTCTTCGAGAGACGGTCCTGAATAACACACAAGTTACAAGTGAATTGAACGAAACAATCAAGTTGGTCATTCAGTTGTGACACAGATATAAGATTACATTGTAACTCTGGAACATAAAGCACATTATTTAGATATAAGTTATCATTTAATATAACACGCCCTTCTCGTGCCGCCACAACCGTCTGCCCATCTGGTAGTCCAACTGAGCATGGTTCAATTGATTTAATTTGACACAAAAAAGATAAATTGCCACAAACATGATTAGTAGCACCAGTGTCTATGATCCATGCATTATTGTTGAACTTACCGGCCATGCGATCATTAGAAGGGGGCAAATTACCAAAAATGGAAAGCAAAGATTTCCATTGCTCAGCCGTGAAACCTGGCAGCGGTGTTGACGTCCCGCTACTGCTTTCACCGTCTTTTGGTGGTTTGCTCATATTTTCTGACGCAACAGTGGCATGTGCTTTGGCTGCCGGTTTACCACGAGGTGCTCCAGGATTATTTGGTTTGCCGCGTCCACTGCCTTTAATTCCAGCCCGAGGCCGGTCCCCCCACCAGTCAGGGTACCCGTGGAGTTCAAAACAGTTCGTGACTTCATGCCCTGAGTATTTGCAATAGGAACAAATGAGTCCTGATTTATCAAGTTTCATCCCACGGCCAACAACTTTTCCTTCAGCCCGAACCGCAAACCCCAATATTTCTGGCTTTTCTTCTTGTGCCTGCACAAACCCACGTACACGCTCCTCCTGGGTCATTTGCTGGTAAGCACGGTTAAGTGATGGCATAGGTGTCTGTGTCAATAATTGAGACCGGGTATGACCAAAATATTCATTATATAGCCCCATTAAAAATTGATGTAAATGTTCTGAAGCCCTTCGTTTTTCATGTTGTCCCAAGACATCACAAGAACACTTGCCACACTTACATGCAATCAATGGTTCGTAGTTATTTAAATCATCCCATAAAGCTTGTAATTTTGAATAATAGGTCCCTACTGCCATTCCTTTGGTCTGCACACATCTTGCCAAATCAACCTTTACTTGGTGGATCTTCGGCCCATCAACAGTGGAGAATCTCTCCTTGAGATCGTTCCATAATCTGGCAGCATTCTCGTAGCGAGAAAGGGTCCCTTTAACTTCCGGTGAGATCGTGTTCAACAGCCAGGATACAAGCATTGAGTGGATTGTAATCCAATCGTCGTCGGTGCATGGAGGCTGTGGTTTGTCTATAGTTCCGTCCACGAACACGTACTTACGTCTTGCACGTAGGGCCAGCTTGATAGCGTTCGACCAATCGTCGTAATTGTTGCTAGTGAGACGGACCGGGGTGATGGAATCACCCGGCCGATCCTGCGGCCCCAAAAAATACGGTGAGGTATGATCAATTTTTGCCGGAGTATTGCCGGACGTGGATTCATCTTCCGTAGTAGGCATTTTACGGATCACAAATTAATGCTCTGATACCATGTTATTTTGTGTAGTATACGCATGAATATACGTAGGTTTAGAGAGGAAGAAGCAAAGGAAAATTCTTCTTATTCATATGTGCTTCATCGTTACTTTATACAACTAGGATACCGATAATAGTGGATCGGCTATCCTTAAAGAAAGCAAGAGATTAAAACAAATCTAATCTCCATAAATAGAAGATAACTACGAATAGAAATAAATGAATAAAATAAAGCTACTATTCCTTATATAATAATCTCCAAATATAACTCCAATATACGGAGTATATGTTTTGTTCAGGCTTCATGTATAGAATATTACAAGATGAGTACTTTATCCACAAAAGTTCGAAACCAATACTCTATGTACTTCAATTATGCTCTATTTGCATCAAATATGTTCTAGCTACTCTAAATACGCTACATTTACTCAAAGCATGTTAAGTATTTGATTTGATCATATTTTATTATATGTTCTTCTATTCCAAATGTTTTATATCTCGTTAGAAAAATCTTATTAAGTTCTAAACTTGCATTCAGACTTCATTTATAAAATATTAAAGATTAGATAATATAACACCAAAATTCAGAATATTGCCAAGTTGACTCTGAGCGGGTGCATGTAATTTTGATTTGATCACATGTTGTTATATGTTCTTGTGTTTGAAGCGTTTATATCTTGTCCGTAAATCTTATCAAAATCTAAATCTCATATTTAGACTTCATTTACAAAATATTAAGGATAAATTAAATATGAATCACATTGAATTCAATAATATTGTCGAGCTAAGAAGGTGTAGAAGTATGCCCAATTAATAAAAAATAATTCAATTATTTAAAAAGGTATAAAGGGTCAAATAAAGCCTACACCTGTTCTGAATGTTCAGTTTGGACCTTGAATAAAAATAAAGTATCAATTAGCTCTCTAACAAGATTCAAAATTCTTTTTTCCTTTAAAATTAGTCACTTGATATGTCATCATGTAAGGTGATAATTAAAGTGTCAAATAGGTCTCTGAACTCGATGGTATTGTTGGGATCACCCCATCCCTAAAAGATTTGTAAAAATGTATTTTTTAGGTGAAATAAAACATATATTAAAAATCAATCAAAACAAGAGTTACAACCAACCAACAGCTCAAACTCCACCATCTATCTATGAAAATTATGAGAGAAAGTTGAAGGCTTAACCCCTTAGGGAGCCATGAGTGTATATATATATATATACTAATGATTAAAACAATTACAAGAGTATCCCTACATTATTATCTATTACACCCCCTCAATCTGTGCAGAGGAAACAACACGCAGATTGGACATAAGAAAATTAAAATGCTGAGTAGACAAATACTTAATAAAAATATCTGCTAACTGAAATTGAATAGGGATATATTTTACAACTAAATCTTCACGAGCCACACGCTCACGTACAAAGTGATAGTCGATCTTGATGTGTTTACCCCGATCACGCTGAATAGGATTAACCGCCAGATAAGAAGCTAAAACATTGTCACAATAGAGCTGAACAAGTTTGGGTATAAAAACTACACTTTTTACGTGTTTTTGGTTGTGCATGTTATCCAAATAAAGTTGCCACTTCATGCAATAAGCTATCACCGCGGTCCACTCCTTGTGTCTTTATTGGATATGCACCTGGGTACAAAGGCTATCGTTGCCTTGATCCCACCACTGATCGAGTTTATATTAGCCGAGATGTTATTCTTCATGAGACTATTTTCCCCTTTTCTGCCCTATCTCGACGGTCTCCACCATCCCCTTCCACTTCTCCTACCTCACTTCCTTTTTACCCAACAAATGTAGCCTGACTAGCCTCTCCACTAACCCCACGTATTTCCCAATCCCAGCAGGCAGAGATATGGGGCGACTGAACATGGCCTGCTCCTGCATTGTAGCTATTGGCGCTTGTGTGATATGTAACTGGGTGGTTGAGACAGTTAGGTGTGCCAGGAATAATCAGTTGGATAGATAGTTTGTTAGTAAATAAACGATCCAACTAAATTAATACCAAAAGGCTATAAATAAGGCCTTCGGCCATCTTTGTACATATGCCTGCTTGTAATAACACAGTCCCTCTAATGCAATTCTATTCTCTTCGAATTCTTTTCTCTGCTTAAGGATTCCTACTCCATAGCTTAGTTCTTCGAACATATTCCTAGACTATAGCAATTGGTATCAGAGCACTTTTCTGGACCTTATTTCCGCCATCAACACAGAGCTTGCAATTCTGGCTAAGAAACTTACGGTGATCAAATTATCAGCGATTATGGAGGACTAAGTCGCTGGACTTGAAAGACAGCTGGAGGAACAAAACAAGAGGAATGAATTGAAGTTTACGGAAACATTATTGAAGCTGGATGCCTTACTTCAACTACTACAAAAGAGAATAGAATTGCATTAGAGGGACTATGTTATTACAAGCAGGCATATGTACAAAGATGGCCAAAGGCCTTATTTATAGCCTTTTGGTATTAATTCAGTTGGATCATTTATTTACTAACAAACTACCTATCCAACTGATTATTCCTGGCCCACCCTAACTGTCTCAACCACCCAGTTACATATCAATAAGTTGCAACAACTAACATCCTTAGTTATTGCAATAAAAGCTTTGATTACTGGATAGATTTGAACATCTAAAAAGCTTAATGTTGCAGAGAAATGATAGGCTGCCTTCTGATTACTTCCTAGATAGTTTTATTGGGGGTCTTAAACCTAAACTTTGATAAAGCTTTCAAGCCAAGAAATCTGATGCATGCCATGGAATATGCTCGTTTACAAGTAAACAATTTGGAGGCTTTAAAAATTTCTGGAAAATTACATGTGGATAAGAATATGGGGAAGGTGAATTGAGATCAACAGGGTTTTTCATGGAAACAGATGTCTTCTGTTCAAACCAAGACACCTGGAATATTGCCTAAACCTCCAGAGATCAACAATCATGCTAAAGGCAACCTGGAAAAGCACAGAAGGAAATTGTCTCCTATGGATATAGAAGAAAGGAGAAGGAAGAACTTGTGTTTTCAGTGTGATGAGCCCTATTTCCCAGGCCACAAATTTAAGGCTCAAATTTATAAAATTCAAATCATTCCTTTAGAAAATGGAGGTGCAAGTGAGAAAATACTGGGAAAAGAAGGGGAAGAACTTCTTTGCTGGTCAACAAAGCTTTCAAACAATGAGAGTAACTAGAAGAGTAAGGAATAAGGAGTTACACATATTAATAGACTCTGGTAGTACTCACAATTTCCTGGACATACAAACTGCTAAGAAATTGGGGTGTTCCATATCTAAATCTTACTCCTTAGAAGTTTGTGTGGCTAATGGTGATAAGATAATAACCGCACAAACATGTAGGCAGTTCAAATGGAGTCTACATGGTCATGAATTCACAACAGATACAATGCTAGTTCCCTTAGGGGGGTTGTGAGATGGTATTGGGCATCCAATGGTTGGCATCTCTAGGGCAGATCGTGTGGAATTTCAAAGAGTTGGTTATGGCCAGAATTCAAGTATCAAGGGAAAAGGGTGGTGTTGAGGGGAAGAAGGGCACCTCGTTATGGATGGGAAATGAAAAATTTTGCAAGGGAATGAACAAGTGCAAAAACCAAGGAGTAGGACAATTGCTGGTCATTCATGCACAACCTGTGCAAAATTTGGAAAGTCAGAAGGAAAACAAGGAACATGAACAAACTCATCTTCCAAAACAATTGCAGAAGATCCTGGAGGATTATAAAGATGTATTTGAAGAACCTAAACAATTACCTCCTCACAAAGAACATGATCACCAAATACATTTGAAACCGGGAACATCTCCAATAAATGTCAGACCATATAGATACCCAATGGTACAGAAAGATGTTATTAAAGAAATCACTCAGGAGATGCTATATAATGGTATTGTCAGACCCAGTCAGAGTCCTTTCTTTGCACCCATAGTGATGATCAAGAAGAAAGATGGGGACTGGAGATTTTGTGCAGATTACAGGGAACTAAACAAACATACCATAAAGGACAAATTCCCAATTCCAGTCATAGACGAGCTCATAGATGAGTTACATGGGTTTTGCATATTTTCTAAAATTGATCTAAGGTCTGGATATTGGCAAATAAGGATGAAAGAAGATGACATTGAGAAAACAGCA